CCAATCCTGCTGGCCTGAAAATTATCTGTTGAAAAATCAGCTGACAGTCTAATGGGAGCTCCCTTGTGGGTAACAAACTGCTTTTAAGATTCTTTGTCTCTAACCTTTTGCATTTTAATTATGAAGTGTCCTAGTGTGGTCCTCTTTGGTTTCATCTTGTTTGGGATTCTGTGTTTCCTAGACTTGTATGTCTTTTTTCTTCACCAGGTTAGGGAAGTTTTTAGTCATTTCTTTCTTCAAATAGTTTCTCAATCCCTTGCTGTCTTCTCCTTCTGGGACCCTCTCTGATGTAGATGTTGTTATGCATGATGTTGCCTCAGAGGTTCCTTAAACTATCCTCATTTTAAAATTCTTTTTGCTGGTCTGATTGCTTGTTTTCTGCTACCTTGTCTTCTAAATTGGTGATTTGATTTTCTGCTTCATCCAATCTGCTGTTGATTCCTTCTAATGTATGACTCATTTCAAATATTGAATTCTTTTTTTAAAAAAAATTATTTCTATGCCCTTTGTTATGCTTGCTTCTTCTTGGTTGAAGTTCTAAGTTCCTTGAGCATTTTTATAACCATTTTTTAAAACTGTATATCTGGTGGATAGCTTGCCTCCATTTCATTTAGTTATTTTTCTGAGGATTGCTCCTGTGCTTTCATTTGGAGCAATTTTTTTTGTCTCTCTCCTTGTGGCTCCTCTCTGTATTTGTTTCTGTGTATTAATTACCAGTAGGTAGATCTGCTATGTTTCCCATTCTTGATCATGGTGCCTTTATGTAGTAGGTGACCTGCTCAGTGGTGTATTTTCTCTGATTACCTGAGATAGGTGCTCCAGACATGTCCCGTGTATGGTTTATATGAGCCCTCCTGTTGTGGTTTAGTCATGATTTCTGTTGGCCCATTTGTGGGTCAGGTTGGCCCTCAGGTTGGCTCACTGTGAGGACTGACCTTAACAACAGTGTATGAGCTTCTCTGAGGGGGGGTCACTCTACAAAGCAGATCCCTCTTCAGGCTCTGGTGCCTGCTGAGATCTCCTTATGGGTGTGTTCCTTGTGGAGCTAATCAGGTTGGGCTCTGATGTGGTTTGAAGCCTGACACTAGGTGTGTTGGTTCTGGGGCCTTTTGGAAAGGACTCCAGTGCAGATCATGTCAGGTGCTGCCTATCATTGGCCCTGGGCTTCCTGTTAGGAGCTACAAAGTGATCCACAGTTTGTGACTGCCTCTGCTAGTTCTGGATGTGTGTGGGAGGGGCCGACCTGCACACCAAGGTTAGCTTCCATCAGCATCGAGCCTGGTGGCAGGTCAAAAAAAGGCACCCTGAAATGTGCCTCTGCCTGCTGGCTGCCTGTTAGGCTCAGTCACTGAAAGAACTTCCTGGTGGTGTTCTCAAGTTGTGTGAGATACATTTTCATTGAATCACCAAGTAGGGAGGGGTGAGTGGTGTTCATCAGGTTGATAGAGCTTCAAACTTGGTGCCAGTGCTGGGTCTGAGGTCACTCAGTGAAAGTCTCAGGGTACACCAAGGCCAGCTGCTACCCTGGGTCCTGTGGATTTTTGTGGTGTGATGTGGTCTCTGGATGTCATTTGCTGTGAGTATCATCTTTTCACCCATTCACTTTGAGCCTGTCTCTGGTCTGAGATGATTTTCCTTCAGGCAGCATATGGTTAGGTCTTATTTTTTAATCCATCTTGCTACTGTGTGCCTTTTGATACGTGCGTTCACTCCATTTACATTTAAGGTAATTATTGATTTAATAGAGGCCCGGTGCACGAATTCACGCACAGGTGGGCCCCTATGGGTGGTCTGCAGGAATCTGGTTGAAACCCACAGTCCAACGCCGCCTGCAGCTCCTACTTGTCTCTCCTGCTCATCCCAGCCCCACTGTGCCTGCCGCGGGCTCACGCCCAATCAGTGACAATCAGGAAAGGCTCCTGCTGCCACAGTAGCGCTCGCCAGCCATGAGCCCTGTGTCTGGCACCCTCCCGAGGGAAGTGGCCTGCAGGATTGGGCTGAAATGGACTCTCTGACATCCCGTGAGGGATCCCAGATTGCGAGAGGGTGCAGGCTAGGAGGAGGGATCCCACCCATGCACAATCGGGCTGGGGAGGGACTGTGGGAAGGCTCCAGGGTGTGGTTGGCCCATCTTGCTCAGTACCGATTGGCCAGACCCCAGCAGCAAGCTAATCTACCGGTTGGAGCATCTACCCCCTGGTGGTCAGTGCACATGATAGCAAGCAGTTGAGCAGCCTTAGCTCAACCATATTACACTTTGATTGGTTGAACAGTCAATCGGTCACCAGACGACCGGACATTTAGCATATTAGGCTTTTATTATATAGGATGAGGACTTACTGCAGTCATTTTATATTTTTAAAATTTTCTAATTATATATCCATTAGTTTGGTGGTTTTCTATGATTTTCCCCATTTCTTTACTTTTTAAATGTTCCCTATTTCAGCTCTGTATTTTTGTTTTGTGGTAGCCATTAGGTTTATGTAAAATAATGTTTCATATATAGAATAATCATTTTTCTCATTGTATCTTATCTTCATCTGTACAAGTTCAGACATTTTCTTCCTTTCTTTGTTTTTGTTGTCACAAATTATTTCCATTCATCTTGTACATTTATTACCAATTTTCAGTAGTCACAGTTATTTTTAATGCTTTATTTCCCTCTTGTTATAATTTTAATATTCTGTTTTGAAGTAGTTTTAAGTTCCTGCTTCTGTATGCTAGTCACCTTATTCAAAGATTTGTATTTTTTTGGCTTTTTGTTTCTGTTAGAACTCCTTTTACTATTTCTTTTAATGCAGGTCTTCTGGTGGCAAATTCTGTCAGCTTTTATTTGTCTGGTAAAGCCTTTATTTCTTTTTCATATCTGAAGTTCAACTTTGCTGAATATATTTGGAATATTTCCTTCTACTATTTCTTGTCTTATAATGTTTCTAGTAAGAAATATGAGGACAATTTAATTCCATGGCTGCCTTTAGATTTCTTTGTCATTAATTTTTTACAATTTGAATAAATGTGTTTTGGAGAAGATGTTTTTATGTCAATATAACTGTGTTGTCTTAGGTTCCTTTATTCTAAAGTCTAGTTTTTCCTATAAGCCTGGGAAATTATCAATTTTCTCTTTCTCACATACTCATTATCTTTATGTTGTTCTTTTTAATAGAGTCAGATCATTCCTGTAGATTTCTTTGATTTTTTTAAAACTCTTAGTTCTCTTTGTTCTTCCACTTGAATAATTTCTAGGTTTCTGTCTTCAAGCCCACTAATTCTATCTTCTAGGTGGTCTGCTCTATTTCCATTGCTCTCGAATGCATTCTTCATCTCATTAATGAGTTCTTCAGCTCCAGAATTTGTTTGGTTCACTTATATAGTTTGTCTTGTTGATTGTTTTCCATGACTTCATGGCTCATTTCTGGAGACTTTTAATTTTTCCTCTGCTTTCAGGTTAACTTGACTGTTTATATTAATTGATGGATTGTTTCTTTGCTGCACAAGTGAGCTTCTTTTTTTGTTTTTGTTTTTTTTTGTTGTTGTTGTTTTGTTTAGATACTGTTTTGCTCTCAACAATTCAGCAGGTTAATAGGTAGGGTACTTTCTTTTATTTTCCAGTAGATGGTGTTATAGTATATGATTTTGTTTTATCTTAGCTGCAGTATTTATGCCTCTGGGATCATAGTGGTGCAGCATCACTTTAGTTAAGGAAAGTGCCACCTAGTCACTTGGAGGTTGGGGTGTCCCTTCCATTACTGGCCCACCTTGGTTCCAGGGCACCACCACTGTGATGGAGGAATGTGACAGGTGGTGGAGAAGTAGTTTTGCAAGCTCCTAGTACTATTTCATTTTTACTAATGTTCCCTGGTTCTGCTGTATTTTTTGGAGGCATCTCTACTACCGCTATCAGGATCTGCCATGATGGGAAAGGGGGAGAGAAATGCCATTTCTTACAGGACCACTACTTCTTCCCTCTTATAATCCAGGCCATAGTATGAGGGCTGAAGCCTAATTTTTTCACTGCTACTAGCTCACCAGAGCCACAATGGGCCCCTAAGTGCATTTGAGGCCACCACCTCTGTCCTCCCCATCGTCAGATGTTTTGATGTGTGGATCTTTCAGTGTATTTGTGCATTGAGCAGGGGATACTTCATTCAGTTTTGGATGTCTGACTTATAAATTTAAGGGGAGAAACAAAGGAGTCTCCTCACTTCCATGATGTTGATGTCACCTCATTGTATTTTATAAAATGAAGAAAAAAGAAAAAAATCCTCACTACTTTTATGACTAGATTATAATGTACTATTGAAACAGTCTTTTAAAAAGAGTAACCCTCATGGGGCTCTTGGCTGGGTAAAAGGGCATGGTGGGAAATTCAATCATGAATAGTCAATCCTTTCTATTGTGGGTCCCAACAGAACTCTGAGAGTTGGATAGTGTGGATATCCACAGAAATCTCTTCTTTTATGAAATATTTTTTAGAAAGAATATGATTCAGTTGTTTTCTACAAATTGTGGTAAATCATCTTTCAGGTATATTAAAAAAATAAAATGGCAGAATATGCTAATAGTTGTACCTTTGTTAACAACAACAACAAAATCCTGGGTTAGACTCCCTACAGCAGAATATTTCTAGAAAATTACTATTTATGCCTCAGCTGTAAGGGAAGCAAGGGATGTTTGTTAGTCTAATAAATATGAATAGGAAGATAGTAGAAATTAGATAATTATTTATTTCTCTGTCCCTGTATTACAAGTGTGGTGGAAAATAGATGGGTATTGATGTCAGAATTAAAATTCCTACTACTTTTTCCTGTTCATTATGGAGTCTGTTTAAAAATTTTAAAGGTGACAACCTAATGAATGATAGTCTATAGACAATTGGAACTCTCTTTTGATTTCTCTCTTTTATTGATTACAGAGAGAGCTGGTTGAAAGTCAGGCTCTGTTTTGTGTCCATTTCCAAAGAGGTCATAAATACCCCCTGCTTCCCAAGGCCACTGTGTTTGCTGAACAACCCCAATGGCTGCCATTTATGAAACACATAAATGGTTCCCCTTAGGCTACCACTGTGGCAACCCACATCTAAAACTGTAAAGTGTGTTAAAGGCAAAAATCTTCATTAATCAGAAATAAAGTCCATGGTCAATATGTATTTTGTATTTTCTATTTTTTAGTCTAAAAGTAGCTCTGAACAGAATACCAACCAAAATTACATCACAAAAACTTTAAATGTATTTATAGAGCAAATAAGTTACATAGATAAACTTTGAATATGTTTCTGATGTGCAACAGGTTTACATGCACATATCTAACACTTGACAGCATTAAGTTTAAGAAAGAAAACTTAAGAATGGCCCTTTAGATAAATATTACAAATAAAGTATGACATTTCTTAAGGAACAAAGTGATAACTCATATTTTACCTTTATAATTCTACTTCTGGCTATCCAAATAGATATTAAAATATGCATGCATGACAGGTGAAAAAGACTTGGGATTTATCATGTGAATGTTTTTAACTCTCTTCTACAAAATGGCAAAGTTGGTTAAAATTAACACTCATCCTTCTGTAGTATAAATATGCTCACAAAAGCAACCTTTTAGTAAAAAGCAGCCAAGATCCATAAAAAAAGGTTTATCTGGACAATTTTTGGTAATAAGGTCCTAATCACAGACCCCTGCAAAGAGATCCATGGTTTTAAGAAACAGTAGCCTAGCAACATAAGAAAGGTACTTCATAGCAGCTCTTTTAGGTATAGTAATTGTATTCAAATTACAGTGTACATTAAATTGTCCATTTACAATTCCCTTTTCACATATACAGGCTGTCAGCTTTTGACCATCTTTTGGTTTTCAATGGCCAGCTTCATTCTGCCTGTCCCATCCTCAGTTCACACAAAAAAAGAAAGAAAAGAAAGGAAAAATAAAGGGAAAGAATATGTACAAGTTTTATAATATTTTTTTTTGTGTGTGAAGGAACATTGCACTTTTGCCAATCTAAAGTAGTTTCTAGAAAGGAAGGGTATTGTTCAAGGTAGTCGACTTTGGTATGCAATAGAAGTCACTTCTTCAGTAGTGAGTTGCATTTGCTCAGTAAAATAACACATTTGTGCTATATAGCATGGCAGATGGAGTCTGTCCTCAAATGTTTTATGTTACCTTGGTTCTTAGTATTGCTACATGTTGGAAGTTCTGTCATCCCCTTTAGAAAAAGTCCAACAGGTAACAAGAGGGAGAACAGTCTGATCAAGTCTTCTGAAGGCTGAAAAGATACTGAGTGATGTTACCCAAGCATGGCAGCACACCCGTCTTGGGACCCATGGATGACAGGGTGCTCCTGTCAGAGACTAGTGCCGGAAACACTGGAGTCTGGAAGAAAAGCAGTGAGGACTCGATAACTCTGGGCCCTGCGAATCATATCTCGAATCTCCATGTTCAGCTCCATCAGCTTGGTGCAGATTTCGGTCAGGCTCTGGTTAGACCCCACCAAAGCGTAAGTACCTGTTTGTCCTAGAGTTTGATGACGGAAATATATATTCAGTAGTGTCTGGACCTCATCATCAGAACTGCTTCCAAAGATGTCATTGGGCCAAAGACTTCTGCACTCAAAAAAGGAAGAGCACAGGTTATTGGCACTATTAGTCATAAAGAGGAGAAATTATGAGTCTGTTAGTATAAGAATATTTTATTTATAAAAAAGCATTATTAAGATAAAAGTCACACATTATACAATTCACAAATCTAAAGTTCTGAAACCATCACCATAAATTATTAATATTAAATATTATTGGCTTTGATAAAAATATCTAAAGTATAAGCTTGGAATCTGATAATTTAAAAACATTTATTTGCTATATCATGATTCCAATGAATATGTGAATATACTATCAAAATATAGGGGTAAAACACCCAAAAGGATACATTCAAATATTAGATTTCAAAATTATGTTGGGGTATATGCTTAATTTTTTTTAATATACTTTATTTCAACCATTTCCCATACCCTTCCTCCTTGGCAACAATCAGTTTGTTATTTATATCTATGGGTCTGTTTTGTTTATTCATTTTTTTTTTATATTTCACATATGGTATTTGTCTTACTCTCTGACTTCTTTCACTTAGCATAATACCCTTTAGATCCATCCATGTTGTTGAAAATGGCAAGATTTCATTACTTTGTATGGTCAATATTCCATTGTATCTATGTACCATCAATTTTTTTATCCACTCATCTATTGATGGGCACTTGGATTGCTTCCATATCTTGGCTATCTATATATATAAAAGGCTAATATGAAAAGTGTACCCTCGGGAGTTTGACCGGGAGACTGGGAGTTAGATCACGCGCTATGATGTGTGCTGACCACCAGGAGGTGGTGAGGAACACAGCAGGTGACCAGCGGCAGTGGTGGGGCTCTGAGGGAGCAAGGGAAGGAGGAGGCAGGGAGGCAGGTAGGCAGGGGGAATGGTGCGGTGGCAGTGTGTGGGTGGTGAGGGAAGGGGGAGGGGAGAAGGAGAGGCAGGAATCTGATTGGCCCTGATTGCTGGCCAGGCCTAGGGACCCTAACCATGCACAAATTTCATGCACTAAGCCTCTAGTCATAAATAATGCTGCAAAGAACATAGGAGTGCATATATCTTTTTGAATTAATGTTTTGGATTTCTTTAGTTAGATAACTAGAATTGGAATAACTGGGTCATATGATAGTTCTATTTTAATTAAGTTTAATTTTTCATCACCATATGGTAGTTCTATTTTAATTATTTGAGGAACATCCAAATTGTTTTCCATAGTGGCTTCACCAATTGCAGTCCCACCAACAGTGTACATCCTTGCCAGCACTTGTTTGTTGACTTTTTGATGTGCACTTGTTTGTTGACTGTTTGATGACAGCCATTCTGACAGATGTGAGGTAGTATGGCATTGTGGTTTTATTTTGCATTTCTCTGGTGATTAGTGATATTGAACATCTTTTCATATGTCTCTTGGCCATCTGTATGTACTCTTTGAAAAAATATCTATTCAGGTCCTCTGCCCATTTTTAGATTGGATTGTTTGTTTTTTTTGGTCTCAAGTTTACATGTTCTTTATATATTTTGGATATTAACGCCTTATTGGATGTATCATTTGTGAATATCTTCTCCCATTAAGTAGGTTGTGTTTTGTTGATGATTTTCTTTGCTTGCACAATTTTTAGTTTGATGTAGTCCCATTCCCCCTCCCCTCCTTTGGTTGCTCTATACCAGTGGTTCTCAACCTTCCTAATGCCGTGACCCTTTAATACAGTTCCTCATGTTGTGGTGACCCCCAACCATAAAATTATTTTTGTTGCTACTTGATAACTGTAATTTTGCTACTGTTATGAATAGTAATGTAAATATCTGATATGCAGGATGTATTTTCATTGTTACAAATTGAACATAATTAAAGCATAGTGATTAATCACAAAAACAATATGTAATTATATATGTGTTTTCCGATGGTCTTCAGTGACCCCTGTGAAAGGGCCTATAATTATCCTCACTATTCTTTAATGATTACTTGTATTTTTGTGGTATTGTTTTTAATTCTTCTTTCATTTATGAATTTATTTATTTTAGTTCTCTATCTTTCTTTTTTGATGAGTCTGGCTGCCTAGGGGCTTGTCAATTCTATTTATCCTTTCAAAGAACCAGCTTTTAGTTTCATTTATTTTTCTATTGTTTTAAAAATTTCTATTTCCTTTATTTTCACTCTAATCTTTATTATCTCTTTCCTTCTGTTTACTTTGGGTGTTGTTTGATCCTCTTTTTCTAGTTCCTTTAAGTATAGAGTTAGATGATTTATTTGGGATTTTTCTTGTTTCTTGAGGTTGTCCTGTATAGCTATGAATTTCCTTCTTAGAATTGCTTCTGCTGCATCTCATAGATATGGAAAATCTGTGTTTTCACTTTCATTGGTCTCAAGGCAGTTTTTCATTTCCTGTTTGATATCTTCTTTTATCCACTGGTTGTTTAGTTACCTGTTGATTAATCTCCATGTATTTTTATTCTTTCCAGTTTCCTAGTTTCATGCCAATATGGTTGGAAAATATGTTTGATATAATTTCAATCTTTTTTAATTTATTGAGATTTGCTTTGGGATCTCTCCTGGATAATGTTTTGTGTATACTTGCAAAAATGTGTATACTGAAGTGTTTTGATGTAATCTACACTAATAAAAGAGAAACATGGTAATTGGCGTACGACCGCTACCCTTTTCATTGGCTAATCAGCGAGATATGCAAATTAACTGTCAGCCAAGATGGCGGCCGGCAGCCAGGCAGCTTGAAACTAACATGAGGCTTGCTTGCCTCAGTGACAGAGGAAACCAATGTTCCCCGCCTGCGGCTGCAGGCCTCTGAGCCTGCAGTTTCAAACATTGTAACAAATACCACTGGACTTCAGCCAGCAGATTCGCAACATTGTATGCAAAGGCCAGAAAGCTACTAGGCCTAAGAGCTGGAGCCAAGCCTCAGGCTAAAGCTGGCCCAGAATAAAAAAAAAAAGGGAAAAAGGAGCGTTTGGGAGTTCAGTCACTCCCAGCCTGAAAACAGCCCTCATCCCCTCACCCAGGCTGGCCAGGCACCCCAGTGGGGACCTCCACCCTGATCCAGGACACCCTTCAGGGCAAACCAACCAGCCCCACCCATGCACCAGGCCTCTACCCTATATAGTAAAAGGGTAATATGCCTCCAACACCGGGATTAGCGGAGCCTCGAGGCCTCCCGGCACAGGGATCAGTGTGACAGGGGGCAGCGCCCAAACCCCCTGATCGCCCTGCAGCTCTGTGTGTGACAGGGGGCGGGGCCCCAAGCCCCCACC